TAGAGCGCAAACATTTGCGTAGCATTTATTTACATGGTAACTACATAGAAATTTCATCCAAAAAATTTCGTGAGAAACTGTTTCTACTTAAATTATGCCTGAATGTTTTCACCTGATTAAAGGGACGGCCAGTACTCAGGATCCATCGGTCTCGGGTGCCAGTTTTCGCCCTCCCTCGGATCTGCTCGCGGTTATCTCACGCGTGGAAATATCTCTACGTTGACAGTGCGTGGATTGAACATTGTAACTATATCCACCTATATCATGTAGTCTTGTTCCTTCGCATCCTCGCGTGTATAGCGATGTGCCACAGTCGCGTCTCCAGTCTTGGGATCATTGAGATCCTTAGCAGGTGCCAGTTTTGACCCTCCCTCTTAGCCCTTCGCTTGTTTCTCACGCGTACAAAAATCACTACGTGGACAGTGCGTGGATTCCAGATTGTCACCTACATCATGTAGTCTTGTTCCTTTGCATCCTCGCGCGTTTAGAGATGTGCCACAGTCGCGTTTTCGGTGTCGGAATCTATGAGATCCTGAACAGGTGCCAGTTTTCGCTCTCCCTCGGACCTCCTGGCGGGTTTCTCACGCGAGGAACTATTTCTATGTGGACAGTGCGTGGATTGGAGATGGTCACCTATGTCGTGTAGTCTTGTTCCTTTCATTCCACGCGTGATTTAGCGATGAGCCACAGTCGCGTTTTCGTTCTCGGAATCATTGACACCCTTAACAGGTGTCAGTTTCGGCCCTCCCTCGGATCTCCTCGTAGGTTTCTCACGCGTGGAAAAATTGACAGTCCGTGGTTTGAAGACAGTTTTGGTCCTCCCTTATATCTCCTCACGCGTTTTTCACGCGTGGAAAAATCTCTACGTGGACAGTGCTTGGATTGGAGATTATCACCCATATCATGTAGTCTTGTTCCTTTGCACCCTCTCGCGTTTAGCAATTTGCCACAGTCGCGTTTTCGGTCTCAGGATCTTTGAGATCCTTAACAGGTGACAGTTGTGGCCCTCCCACGGATCTCCTCGCGGGTTTCTCGCGCATGAAAAAATCTTTACCTGCGTACATTGTAAATTGTAACCTATATCATATAGTCTTGTTCCTTTGCATCCTCGCGCGTTAAGCAATGTGCCACAGTCGCGTTTTTGGTTTCGGAATCTTTGAGATTCTTAGCAGGTGCCAGATTTGGCCCTCCCTTAGATATCCTCGCGGGTTTCTAACGTGAGGAAATATCCGTACCTGGACAGTGCGTGGATTGGAGATTGTCACCTACATCATTCACTCTTGTTTCTTAGCATCTTCGCGCGTTTAGCCGTGTACCACAGTCGCGTTTTCGGCCTCAAGATCTTTGAGATCCCTAACAGGTACCAGTTTTGCCCTTCCCCCTCAGATGTCTTCCTCTGTTTCTCACGCGTCGAAAAATCTCTACATGGACAATGCGTGGCTTGGAGTTGTCGGACATTTCGTTGTGTACGTTTTGTGGAGAGCATAAAGAATCCCTAGAGCATTTGTTCTTGCACTGTCAATTCAGCAAAAACTTGGATGCAAATTGTTTCCTAGTTAAATGAATTTAATATTACAATCATTGAGCTAAAGGATAGCGAGATCATGTTAGGTTATACGAACGAAAGTCCACATTGGACTTTTCTTAATTATATCCTTATTATTGGTAAGCAACTAATTTATTCAAGTCGACTAAGAAAATCTAAGCTTCTAGTATCTTAATTCATCGTTAAACTGAAATACACAGAACGCATTGAACATTATATCACTAAGAGGAGAGACAGGATTAATTTACATGAAAAGAAATGGAAAATCATAACAAAATAAATTTTTACTAATTTATCGTGTAGTAGCTATACTTTGCAAGCATTGTAGTGGCATGCGTAGCTAATAGTTCTGTAGTTAGGCTTAGCAATTTTTGTAATTTGTGGTGTAATAGTAGTGTAAGTACAGGTTTTGTAAGTAGGTTTATGCAGTTATAGTAGCGTAACTAAAACAGTAATAAAATGTAAAAAATAACTAAAATAAAAACGTAAAAAAAATCATATTTAAGCATAAAATTCCCGCGCATTAGACAGAGCGTAAGGTTGAGATTCTTGCGTGCTCACTTTTATGCTCTACTCTCGCGTTCTTGCGCGTTCGGCGATGTGATCCAGTCGTGTTTTCAGTCCTTTAGCTTAAAGCTTAATTAAAAGGTTCAAGTTCTGGTCCTTGCTCTAACTTCTGCGCGTGTTTTTCACGCGTGACCATCTCGCGCATTAGACGAAGCGTGAGGTTGAGATTCTCGCTTGTTCACTTTTATGCTCTCCTTTCGCGTTCCCGCGCGTTCCGCGATGTGACCCAGTCGTGTTTTAAGTCCTTTAGCTTAAGGCTTACTTAAAAGGTTCAAGTTTTGGCCGTCTCTCTAATCTCCGCGCGTGTGTTTCACGCAAGACCTTCTCTCGAATAGCACAGAACATGGCATTGATATTCTCGCGCGCTTACTTTTTTCCTCTCGTCGTGTATCTTTATGCGGTCCGCCAAGTGACCCACTCCCTGTTTTCGGTCTTCTAATCTCTTAGACATGTAGGAACGTTTCGGTTTTAGTCTTGGAATCTTTGACATCCTTAGCAGGTGCCAGGTTTGGCTCTCCCTTAGATCTTCTCGCGGGTTTCTCACGCAAGGAAATATCTCTACTTAGTGCGTGGATGAGAGATTGTTATCTATATCACTTAGTCTTGTTCCTTTGCATCCTCGCGCCTTTAGCGATGTACCACAGTGGCGTTTTCGGTCTCGGATTCTTTGAGATCCTAACACGTGCCAATTTTGGACCTCCTTCGGATCTCCTCGCGTGTTTTCATGCCTGGGAAAACGTCTATGTTTACAGTGCGTGAATTGGAGATTGTGACGAGGATGCAAAGGAACAAGACTGTATGATATAGCCAACAATCTCCAATTCACGCACTGTCCACGTAGAGATTTTTTACGCATGAGAAACGTGCGAACAGATCCGACAGAGGGCCAAAACTAGCACCTGTTAAGGATCTCAAAGATCCTGAGACCGAAAACGCGACTATAGCACGTCGCTAAACACGCGAGGATGCAAAAAAACAAGACTACAGGATAGCAGTAACAATCTCTAGTTAACGTACTGTCCACGTAGACATTTTTCAATGCGTGAAAAACGCGCGAGGGGATCCGAGGAAGGACCAAACCTGTCACCTGCTAAGGATATCAAAGATCCCGAGACCAAAAACGCGAATGTGGCACATCTCTAAACTCGCGAGGATGCTAAGGAAGAAGACTACATGATATAGGTGACTATCTCCAATCCACGCAATGCCCAGGTAGATATGTTTCCGCGCGTGAAAAACGCGCTAGGTGATTCGAAAAAGGGTCAAAACAGTGAAATGCTAAGGATCTCCAAGGTCCCAAGACCTAAAACGCAAATGTGCCACATCTTTAAACGCGCGAGGATGTAAAGGAACAAGACTGCATAATGTAGGTGACAATCTCCAATTCACGCACTGTCCAGGTAGACATGTTTCCACGCGTGAAAAAAGTGCTAGTCGATTCGAGGGAGAGCCCAAACTGTTACCTGCTAAGAATCTCAAAGATCCCGAGACCAAAAACGCGAATGTGGCACATATCTAAACGCGCGAGGATGCAAAGGAACAAGACTGTATGGTATAGTTGACAATCTCCAATCCACGCACCGTCCACGTAGAAAATATTCCACGCGTGAAAACGCGCGATGTGGTCACGAGGGAGTGCCAAAACTGTCACCTGCTAAGAATCTCAAAGATCCCGAGACCAAAAACGCGATGTGGCACATATCTAAAAGCACGAGAATGCTAAGGAACAAGACTGCATGATATAGGTGATAATCCCCAATAATCCACGCACTGTCCACGTAGAGATTTGTCCTCGCGTGAGGAACGTGCGAGGGGATCCGACAGAGGGCAATAACTGGCACCTGTTAAGGATTTCAAAGATCTCGATACCGAAAACGCGACTGTGGCACATCGCTAAGCACGCGAGGATCCAAAAGAACAAGATTAGATGATAGAGGTAACAATCTCCAGTCCACGCAGTGTCCACGTAAGGTTTTTCCCACGCGAGGAGATCCGAGAAAGGGCCAAAACTGTCACTTGCTAAGGATCTCAAGAATTCCGAGCCAAAAAACGCGACTGTGCCACAACTCTAGACACGCGAGGATGCAAAGGAGCAAGACTGCATTATATAGGTGACAATCTCCAAGTCACGCACTGTCTACGTAGAGATTTCTTCACGCTTGAGAAACCTTTCAGGAGATCCGACAGAGGGCCAAAACTGGCACCTGTTAAGGATCTCAAAGATACTGAGACTAAAAGCGCAATTGTAACGCTAAAAACGCGAGTTTGCAAAGGAACAAAACCATATGATAAATGCAACAATCTCCAGTCCACGCACTGTCCATGTAGAATTTTTTGCACGCGTAGAAAACGCACGAGGAGTTCCGAGGAAGCGCCAAAACTGTCACTTGCTAAGGATCTCAAAGATTCCAAGACTAAAATCACAACTGAGCCACATCTCTAAACATGAAAAGCGCGCGACGAGGTCATGGGGGAGGGCCAAAACTGTCACCTGCTAAGGATGTTAAAGATCCCGAGAAGATCCCGCGCGAAGATGCAAAAGAACAAGACTGCATGATATAGGTGACAATCTCCAATCCACGCACTGTTCACTTAGACATTGTTCCACGCGTGAAAAACCCGCGAGGTGGTCACGAGGAAGGGTCAAAACTTTAACCAGCAGAGGATCTCAAAGATTCCGAGAGCAAAATTGTGAGTGTGGCACATCCCTCAACGCGCGACGATGCATAGGAACAAGACTGCATAATAAAGAAGACAATATCCAATCCACGCACTGTCCACGTAGAGATTTTTCAGCTCGTGAAAAACGCACGAGGAGATATGAGGGAGGGCCAAAACTATCTTTTGTAAGGAGCTTAAAGATCTCTAGATCAAAAACGCGACTGTGCCACATCTTCAAACGCGCGACGAGGCAAAGGAACAAGACTGCATTATATAGGTGACAATCTCCAATCCACGCACTGTCAACGTAGAGATTTTTTCACAAGTGAGAAACGTGTGAGGAGATCCGACAGAGGGCCAAAACTAGCACCTGTCGAGAATTTCAAAGATCCTGAGACCGAAAACGCGACTGTGGCACATCGCTAAACACGCGAGGATGCAAAGGAACAACACTACGTGATAAATGTAACAACCTCCAGTCCACGCACTGTCCACGTAGACATCTTTCCAAGCGTTAGAAACGCGCGAGGAGATCCGAGGAAAGGCCAGAACTGTCACCTGCTAAGGATATCAAAGATCCCGAGACCAAAAACGAGAATATGGCGCATCTCTAAACGTGCAAGGTTGCAAAGGAAGAAGACTGCATCATATAGGTGACAATCTTCAATCCACATACTGTCAAGGTAGACATCTTTCTCGGGTGAAAAACGCGCTAGGTGATCCAAGAGAGCGCCAAAACTGTCACCTGCTAAGGATCTCGAAGATCCCGAGACCAAAAACGCGAATGTGGCGCATATCTAAACGTGCGAGGGTGAAAAGGAACAAGACTGCATGATATAGGGGACAATCTCCAATTGACAAACTGCCCACGTAGAGATTTTTTCACGCGTGAAAAACACGGAAAACGCACCTGTTAAGGATCTTTAAGATGCTGAAACCGAAAACGCGACTGTGGCACATCGCTAAACACGCGAAGATGCAAAGGAACAAGACTACATAATAGAGGTAACAATCTCCAGTCGATGCACTGCCCATGTAGAGCTTTTTGCACGCCTGAAAAACAAATGAGGAGATTCGACAAAAAGCCAAAACTCTCACTTGCTAACGATCTCAAAGATTGCAAAACTAAAACCGGGACTATGCCAAATCTCTAAACGCGCGAGGATGCAAAGAAAACAGTCTGCATAATATAGCCAACAATCTCCAATCCACGCACTGTCCACGTAGAGATTTCTCCACGTGTAAGAAACGCGCGAGGACATTTGACAGAGGGCCAAAACTGGCACCTATTAAGGATCTCAAAGATCGTGAGACCGAAAACGCGACTGCGGCACATCTCTAAGGATACAAAGGAACAAGACTACATGATGGAGGTAACAATCTCCAGTCCACGCACTGTCCACGTAGAGAATTTTCCACGCGTGCAAAACGCGATTAGAGATCCGAGGGAGGGCCAAAACCGTCACCTGATAAGGATCTCAAAGATCCCGGGACCAAAGAGCGCGAATGTGGCACATGTCTAAACGCGCGAGGATGCTAAGGAACAAGACTCCATGATATAGCTGATAATCTCCAATCCACGCACTGTCAACGTAGAGATTTTTTCTCGCGTGAGAAATGCGCGAGAGAATCCGACAGAGGGCCAAACCTGGCACCTGCTAAGGATCTCAAGGATTCTGAGACCCAAAACGCGACTGTGGCACATCGCTAAATA